GAATTGGTACTCAGCAGAAATAGCTCACTTCATCTGATTCAAAGCGAATTTGTTACTTCCTTCTGCACATACGCAGGTTTAGAGTTTCAAAACTCAAGAAATGAAAACGATGAAATGCACATAACAACCACAAACAAAGCGAATTGCACAAAATTGAAGCAAGAAACTCAGTGCCAAAGAATCAGAAAGTGATGATAAAGACAATGGATAATTCAACAACAACAGCAAATTCTCAGAAAATCAGATACGAGAAAACCAATAGCAGTGGAAAACTACATGAAACTTAAATTTGGAGACTAAAAAGAGAGAAAAAAAGCAATGAAATGAAGCAAAATAAGAAGAAGAACTTGAGGATTCAAGAAACATACTGCGTTGTTCGAAGAATTTAGCCGAGATAGCGAAGAACAGAAGCTTGTTTTTGAATTCCGAAGGCTGCTGATAAAGTTTGACGACGGGGCGTTAATAACTAGGGTTTTTGAACCTTCTACATTTAAACCCTTCGTAAATATTTATGAGCCGCCCCCCGCTATCGTTTTTTGTTTTAGTTTGTATTTTTAAAATGTTATTTTTTTTGTTTATGTTTTTTTTTTCCCTTAAAATAAATATTATATATATATATATACCCGTTAAAAAAATATATATATATGACAGTAATTAGGGATGTACATTAAACCTGACCCCCCGAACCAACCCAACCCTAATTATAGGGGTTATAGGGGTTGAGTATGAAAGTAATTAGGGATGTACATTAAACCTGACCACCCGAACCAACCCAACCCTAATTATAAGGGTTATAGGGGTTGAGTGAGCATTTTAGGTTGGATTGAGTTAATTTTCTAAAACTATTCGAATTTTGAGTTCATTGGACAAAATTTCGAGTTAACCCGAACCAAAACAAATCTTATAAAATATCTTAAGATAACTTGCATATATATTTAACCTGACAACTCGAACCAACCCAATACGAATTATAGGGATTGAGTCAGCATTTTGAGTTAGGTTGAGTAAATTTTTTAAAACCGAGTATATTCTATTCAAATTTTAAATTTATTGGACAAAATTTTAAGTTGACCCAGAACCAGAACAAATCTTATAAAATATCTTAAAACAACTGAGTTTGAATCGGGCTATAAGCTGTATTTTTTTTTTTAATGTTATAAACGTGTTTTATTATTTTTAATTTCAAACGAATAAGCTTATAAATAACTCTATCATATATTTTATATTTTTAAACATATTATTTATAATATGAATAAACTAACAAACAATCGTCTATAAATTTTGTGTTATTTTGGAGTAAAAACGTATTGAATTGAGTTCAAAGTTCATAATCATTTATTTGAGTAATATTAAAGCAAATTGTTTTTTCGTTCTATTCATCATTTTTATTGAGCTTATCAAAAGTAAATGATTTTAAATTTCGAGTTTTATCAAAAGTTCTAAAATGTTTTGACTGCTCTTAATATCTACGGTAACTTATGAATCAGCATTTAGTACGGGTGGAATGATTCTTAATTATTTTAGAAGTTCTACGAGGTAGATACAAAATTGAATCAATACAAAAATTAGTTTCATTAAATTTTACTCTAACAATTTGAAGATTTTGTTCTAAAACTGAGACAAGTAACTCGGAGTTCAAATTATTTATTATCTATCTATTACAATATATCACAATTCATCAACGTGATGCATAAATAAATATTTTTCATGGTTAGCAAAAATATCTTTTATACGGGTTTTTAATTTTGCTGTGCATAATTTATTTAATTAATTATTTTTTATTATTTTTGAATTTTAACGTCTATTCTTATATTTTTCTTGCTTAACCAATTAATAAGAAAGTGCCGATATTTAGTTGTCTTTTGGTTCCGTGGCAATATTGAACTATGTTAGGATGTTACAATTCTCTCATGTTATTTGTTGATAAAGAATTTGTTTGATTATAAATTGTTGTTTTTTTTTTTTGGGTGAAATTTTAATATATTTTATCTAAAGAGGGCTGAAGTTTAAGGAAAAGAGACCATAGAAAATCAGTCCTGAACTCCAGAACGAAGAACGAAGGGGATAGATAGAATACTGAAATCGTCCCCGCAAAATCCTAGTTTGAGGTCTGGTCGCATCAATCAGCTTGCTTGGGATCATGTAACCGACATTGGTTATACCTCGGGGTTGGGGATAACTTTATACTCAATGTTGTATAACGTTTGTTCCCCTAAAGAAGGTTCTGAATCTATAAAGAGTTGCGTGTCTGAGTCCTTTCGCTCTAAAAAAGATTTTTAGTCCTTTGCTCTACCAACTGAGCTATCCCGGCCATTTTCAACACGCATGGGATTGACTACGAGGAGGTTTTTGCCCCAGTCGCGAGACTAGAAACAGTGAGATCAACAATCTCCCCGATGTTAATCCAAGGCAACTTACCGGTGATAGTCACAGCACCAGGAGAGATAAGCCTTGGAAGCGAGAGATGCTACGGTGAGGGAAGAGACTTTAGAACCTTGTAGGAAGGTCCAACAACTTTGGCTACAGCGGAGGATACATCCCAGGATAGAGAATGCTCTATTCTATGATACGTTGAAACACTCTACTGCAACTAGATAAGTAAATATGAACTTGAATTATAGTTAAGTCTTATGAGAGTTCTAAATCATGTTGAGTCCTTGTTTACGCATTCTTGATTGAATGACGTATCGGGATCAATTGTAACCCAAGCTTACTGTCTTTTGATAGACCATGGCTCTGACGGGCCAACACTAAAAAGGGGTAGAACGAGAGTTACAATTAGCACCATGGAGAAGACGGTGTAAACAATTATTTATTCAATTTTGACATAGAAATCAAACCATTTTAAAAGTGTATAGTATAAATCATTTCTAATATTACGTTACCAATATAAATAATTCACACACCTCTCTCCCTCTTCGATATTCATCGCACCTCTCTACTACTTAATGACGTGACTTCCTTAAGAACTCGCCCTCTTCTCACCTCTTTGCTAGGACGTAAATGGTAGTTCAAATGTCTATACCTTTTAAAAATTGCATTAATACCTTTAACCGTTCAAAAAAGTTCATTCCCATCGGTATATAAACATCTACTTCAATCAATGACCTAACACTTCCTCTCTTCTTTGATAACCTCTTAATCCCTTTCCATTTCTCGTTATTCTTCGATATCAAAGTTTCAAATAAACAAGAGATGTTCTCTCCTTTTTTAAGCTTCAACGCTGAACGATCAATCTCTTTACAGAGGAATATCATCTTTGATCATTGTAAAATCTTATGAACTAACCACAATAAATAGATACTTTAAACGGTAAAAAAAAAAATAAAATAAAATTTACCTCTACAAATTTAAATTTAGTAATGCTCGTGTTTCCTTCTTTTCCCCTCTCAAAAGTTATCCTTAAAATTATTACTCAAATTCTCAACATATTTCTCTCTCTGTATATTAAAACTCATATATATTAACGTCCGAAGCCTACTGTTAACAGATATTGTCCTCTTTGAGTTTTCCTTTCGGGCTTCTCTTCAAGGTTTTTAAAACACGTCAACTAAAGAGATGTTTCCACACTCTTATAAAGAATGCTTCGTTCTCCTCCCCAACCGATGTGGGATCTCACAATCCACCCCCCTTCGGGGCCAGCGTCTTCACTGGCACTCGTTCTCTTCTCCAATCGATGTGGGACCACCCCCTTTGAGACCCAATGTCCTTACTGGCACACAACCTCGTGTCCACCCCCTTCGAGGCCCGACCTCCTCGCTGGCACAACGTCCGGTGTCTAACTCTGATACCATTTGTAACGGTTCAAACCCACCGCTAACATATATTGTCCTATTTGGTCTTTCCCTTTTGGGCTTCTCCTCAAAGTTTTTAAAACGCATTTGCTAGGATAGAGGTTTCCACACTTTTATAAAGAATGTTTCATTCTCCTCCTCAACCAATGTAGGATCTCACAATATCACTCATCTGCACATAACAAAACAAGTATATCGCAAGCTCGTAGAAGATGAGAATGTGGATGTCTAAGGAGAGTATGAAAAACAACCCTTTTTATAATTGAGTACAATCTCATCAGACCATCTCCTCTCACAGTCCTATCTCATTCTCTTGCTTAATATCTCAAATTAGAATAAGACAACAAACAATGATTTGACTTAAGAAGAAGAAGAAAGTCCTCTTTCCTGCCACAATCACAAGACAATATAAGAAACACTGTCCTTTGAACTCGAACAATTCCCTGTAGAAATCATAAATAACCTCCAAAAACTGCAAGGATTGGGCATGTGTTCTTGATATGTAATCAACCCAAGGGAAATGTTTGATGCCAAATGATAAGGAAATCACTACAACGAGAGTAAGATTTGGATTACCTTGTTGATTGAATATCTCAAGGCAAGAACACTTGTTTTAGATTTGAATCACTCCACAAGCAAGATCGATCATGTCTAGCTTCAATGATTCTTGTTGATCAAATATCTCAAAGCAAGAACACTTGTTTGAGATTCGAATCACTCCACAAGCAAGATTGATCATGTCGAACTTGAATGATTCTACATGCAACCTAAACTACATAGAATTGCAAAAAAACTTAGTCATTGGCTAAAGAAAGCACAAATGCTTCTTTTACTACCTTTTCTAACTCTATCTTACAAAGTTAAAGATACATGACTTTATATGGCCTCAAAATGAAAACTCTACCGGCATTCCAAGAGTTATAACATTTATACTTTAGGGTCATAATTAACCATTATGTAAATGTAACCTAGAGTAAATAAAAAGTCTTAAAATACATTAATGAAATACAATAACTCCAAAATACTCTAAATTGTAATCCACCCAAAATTTATAACAACGAAGTTTCATTCTTTTTCAACGTGGCATGACTTGAAATATCTTTTGATAATTTCAACAACATTTTCTTCACATCTTCATTGAAGTATATCGTATGATTGATGTCTCTTGGTTCATGTCAAGACAGGTTTAGATAACCAAGCAAATCATGTAGCAAACAATGCGATATATCATAAAGGAAGCATTAGAAGTTGTATATGATACCTAGATATAAGTAGTCTCAGCCACAATCCGGGACGATCGTGATCCCTTTAAACCGCATCCTTCAAGCAGGAAAAGTGTTTGTTCATTATTTTACTACAAGATCAAGTACCTCTAATAGAAACTTCAAGCTGCTCAATTTTCTTAGCTAAATCATGCTTTCCACAGCTCTTCAATCCATCAGTAACCATATCAAAGCACCTCGAAATCGGTGGTAAACCAAACTCAGCCATTTCCATCAAGTAATTAGCAGCATCAACAAATCTCCCTCCACGTCCACACATCGTTATCAACATTGTGTACACCGGCCGATTCGGTGGATGCCCCTTAAGTTTCATATCACTGAAAAAGCAAAATGCATCATCAAACTGACCCCTTTTACACATTCCCTTAATTATTGGCCCATAAAGACTTGGAAATGGTATATGTCCATCCTCAATACAGTAATTCAAAAGCCTGAATGCTTCATCGATCCGACCTACTTTCGAAGTTGCTGGAATCAAAATCTTGTAAGTATTTATATCAGGGCAAAGTCCTAATTTGCACACTTCATGATAAATATTGATGCAAAAATCAACTTCTCCAGAGTTACATATAACATTAATCAGAGAATTAAAAGTCCCTAAATCAGGCACGGATCCTTCTTTAATCATTTTCCTAACCATGTTCTTGGCAGATTCTAAATACCCTGCATTCAACAATCCTTCAACCAAAAGATCACGACCTCTCAAAGGAGGATTGAACCCCTTCTGGCTCATTTCCTCCAAGAACTGCTGAGCTTCCTTCATCTTCCCCGATGAACACCACCCAGTTACAAGAATTCCATAGGTCTTTTTATCAGGAGTTACCCCTTTTCTAATCATCCTCCTAATCAATGCATAAGCTCCATGAAACATCTTAATCTCACAAAGTGCAAAAAGTAATGCGTTATATACCTCAACCGTTTGTGGACAATCGATAGATTTAGAACATTGATTGAAAATCGTAACCGCACCATCGACAAGGCCTTGCTTACCATACTCTTCGATGACGAATGATATCGTTTCTGGTGAAATTTTGAGATTCTGAGTCTTCATCTGGTGAAGAACTTTCCACATCGTCGTATACTTTTTGGTCCGAGCTAGGGTTTTGACGAGCTCTTCGAATTCAAGCGTAGTAGGTTGGTAAGAGGGGTTGTTTGAGCACGCCCAGTTGAAGAAACGGAAGGATTCAGTACCTGAGTTGGAGCAAGCACGAAGGACTCTGAAAACGAGCTCGGAATTGAGGTAGGAGATTCGGAGCTTGTTGAGAGTGCGCTCCATGTAGATGTCGCGGCGGACAATGTTGGAGATATGGTGGATTGCGGCGAAATAGTCGTCTTTGGAAGGCGTGCCGGAGCCATTGGAGGAGGAATTTGAGGTACTGAAATGGCGGATGAGAAAAATGTTGTGGAATCGTATTGCGTCTGTGATTCTGTGGAGCTTGGGGATGATGCTGAATTGGGTTGCGAAAATTTTGAAATGGAACATTTGAGATAGAAATGGGATGAGTTTTGTGTAATTCCCTTTTTGTTAGCCGATTTTCTTTTTTTCTTTATTTATTTATTTTTTAGTTCAATCCCATGACTCTATCGCTAGGGAGGAGAACAAAACACACTTTTAAGGCTGCATTTTAAAATCTTGAGTGGAAGTCGAAAATTAAAATACCAAAGAGGACAATATCTGCTAACGGTGAGTTTGAGTCGTTACAAATAGTATCAAAACTAGACACTAGACGATGTGTCAGCTTTCTCACTATTCCTCAAAGGGGGTAGACACGAGGCGGTGTGCCAGCAAGGACGCTGGGCCTGTTGAGGATTCCTTCTCTCTATTCCTAACATTTGGGATCAGTGTCATGCCCTGAACTTAGCCATGTCGATAGAATCCTCAAATATCGAACAAAGGATTGTGAGTCTCGAAGGTGTAGTCAAAAGTGACTAGAGTGTCGAACAAAGGGTGCACTTTGTTCAGGGCTCTAGAGAATGGAGTCGAGCCTCGATTAAGGGGAGGCTATTCAAGAGCTCCATAAGTATGAGGGGAGGCTTATAGTGTACTTTGTTTGAGGGGAGGATTGTTGAAGATTATTGGGAGTGAGTCCCACGGTTAATTTAGTGGAAGATCATGTGTTTATAAGTGAGGAACACTAGGAAACCCAAAGCAAAGCCATGAGAGCTTATACTCAAAGTGTACAATATCATATGACTGTGGAGAGTCGTGATTCTTAACAGGGCTCTGAATGTTGACGATTGTTAGCCTATATGTGATACTGGTTTTGTAGGAGAGGTAGATGACAAGAAAAACACTTATGGTTATGTGTACAGGAAAAACACTTACGGTTATGTGTTTTACTCAACGAAAGAGTTGTATCTTGGTCCTCCAAAACCAACCTGTATTTACTTTGTCCACTACTGAAATAGAGTTTGTGATAGCTACCTCTTATGCTTGTCCAGAGGGAGGTTTTACATTTTCAAGAGAAGTGTATCACTATGTCATGTGATAACAGTTTCTATCATTAAGATATCCAAGAATCCAAACATGCATGGACGCAACAAACACGTCGTTATAAGGCTTCGCCAAAGATGAAGTTATTCAGTTGAAACATTGTGTCACACAATGATATGAACCAAGAGACATCAATCATACAATATACTTCAATGAAAATGTGAAGAAAAGGTTGTCAAAATTATCAAAAGATGTTTCAATTCATGCTACATTGAAGAAAAATAAAGTTTGATTGTTGTAAATTTTGGGTGGGTTACAATTTAGAGTAATGTAGAGTTATTGTATTTTAAGACATTTTATTTACTTTATAGATTACATTTATTATGGTCATTAAGTATGAATGTTACGGAATGCCTTTACTAGTTTCATTTTGAGGCTATATAAAGCCATGTATGTTGTATTTGTAAACAGACTTGAAAAATATAGTAAAAGAAGCATTTATGCTCTTCTTTAGCAAATGACTAAGTTTATTTGCAACTCTATGTAGTTTAGGTTGCATGTAGAATCATTCAAGCTCGACATGATCAATCTTGCTTGTAGAGTGATTCGAGTCTCAATCAAGTGTTCTTGTCTTGAGATATTTGATCAACAAGAATCATTGAAGCTAGACATGATCGATCTTGCTTCTGGAGTGATTCGAATCTCAAACAAAGTGTTCTTGGCTTGAGATATTTGATCAACAAGGTAATCCGAATCTTATTCTCCTTGTATTGATTCCTTATCTTATCACACAAGAACATGTTGCAGTTATTATGAAAAAGCCACTTACGTTGGACGCGTTCATAAAATTGCGTGAGTCAATAGGTATGTATGTAGTACCACGAGTAAAATGAAAGCATTTTTACAATCAATTTAGGGGAGGAATGATTAAGATAGTTAGATTAGACCATTCCTTTAGGGTTGAAATGGTTAGATTAACCTATTTCTTCCGGGGTCTTTGTTAGTTTACTAGTTATATTAGTTTGTAAGGGCTATAAAAGAAAGTTCGATCACGTGGTTGGGGTATCAATTTGGAGTTACTGCATATGCTACTGGGTCACCCAGGTATGTCCGCTATGTATGGATCGACTGTGTATGGATCACTGGCTTAGACGGGCTTGATGGACTTTTGCCTTGATCAAGTTCGATTGTGGAGTGATTCAATTTAAAACAAGGTTCAAAATCTTAGTTCTAGATCTTTGATCAGTAATCTAATTTAGATTACTAGCCTTATCTCTTGCTTGATCCGAATTTTATTTTATTTTTCAATGCAATTGATTTCAAAATTTGTGTAGAGTATTTTTCTATTATTTGTATTAATTTAAGAGTATTTAAGAGTTTGAGAATATTTTTGTACTCGATTTGCTATACTACAGAGCATCAGATTGAAGATTTGAAGGTAGCGTGTTCGATCTACTCTCGACGCAGGTTTTTCAAAAAATCAAGTCTTCATAAATTAACCGTGAGTAGATTTTTTTTTTATATTAATTTAAAAGTATTTAAGAACTTGAAAATAGTTTTGTACTAATTGGCTACGTTACTTAGGGTTATGCAGCGATAGGTCAAAGTATTTGTAATTTATTTAACGAGTATTTTTTATATTAATTTAAGAGTATTCCAGAGCTCGAAAATAGTTTCGTACAGGTTGACTATATTACTTAGGGTTGTGTAGAGATAGCTTAGTTGGGAGAGCGTTAGACTGAAGGTCGCGTGATTGATCCACGCTCCTGGCACATTTTACAAAAAAACTAAAGACCTTGTAATATTTAATGAGTTGATGATTTTTTTTTATTAATTTAAGAGCTCGAAAATAGTTTCGTACAAGTTGGCTATGTTACTCTAGGGTTATGTGGGGATAGCCTAGTTGGGAGTCTTAAACTGAAGAATCTAAAGGTCGCGTGTTCGATCCACGCTCATGATACATTTTACAAAATCTTAATATATTAATTTAAGAGCTTGAATAGTTTCGTACTAGTTTGCTATGTTACTTTAGGGTTATGCGAGGATAGTTCAGTTTAGAGAGCTTCACATTGAAGATCTAAAGGTCGCGTTTCGATCCACTCTCGATGTACATTTTTATATTAATTTGTGTTCGTTCCATGCTCGCGTTGTCTACCAAAATTTTGAAGGTCCTAGCCAATGAAAAACAAGCTCGAGAAAACACACTTCACCCAAGTAAATAGCCATCCAGGCTTTCTCGAGTAATACTTATTGGGATCACTAAGACATACTGACATGCAAGCATACTTTGCCTTACGTGCAGAGAATATGCATGATTAGGACTTTAGGGGGGCAATTTTGGATACGAATACTTTGTATGTTATGAAAAATTACGATAATGCTCATAGGATGAGACTTTTATAATGCACATTATCTTAATGTTTTCCATTCCATACTTCACGTGATTAATAGGATTATCTCCCTAACTAAGTCTGCACAAAAATTTACGACAATCCTACGATGATTAATTAGTGTCCTTCCCATAAAGCATAGTTTCTAACATTGAGTTAATGGGGTCAGAGCTAGGCTCGTTAAACGATGATCTAGGTTAATTGTTGAGATATATTATTTATGGAATATATCTTAAATATTGTATCTTAATTTTTTTTCTTTTATGGTTTAATTTATAGTATATTTTATTTTATTCTCAATATTTAATTAGTTTATATTTTTCTTGTTGATATATATTAGTTGCTAGCTTGTATCCTATTTAAAGGATGTCAATATGAAGGAGAATACGAAATAGAAATAGAATTGGGAAGGCATGTATTCTCATTGATATTGATATCGTTTAAACAGGATACAAGCTAGCAACTAATACCTACCAACAATGAAAATATAAACTAATTAAATATTGAGAATAAAATAAAATATACTATAAATCAAATCCGAAAGAAAAGAATATTAAGATATAATATCTAAGATATATTTCATAAATAATTCATCACAACATTAATAGAAAACTACAGTGGTTACAGTTTCGTTCCACTCTCTAATAAATATGGGATCTTACAGAGATAATAAAATATAAACTTTGTCTAAAATAAATATTCATAAATTTGTTAAAGTTTCAATAATATTTTTAAATTAAAAAACAACAGTAAAGTAATTTTAAAAATTTTAAAATTTTTTACGTTTAAAACCATAATAATTGAATTTCCACGGCACACCCATCGTTTCCGACTATCCTGACGGCGACGACTATATTCAGGCGGCCTTGGACACGACCGGATCTGCAACGAGCGGTCCAGCCACGCCTGACGCGCCCGGAGACCAGCGTGGTTTCCAGCGGCTGCGAGATTCACCCACGCAAGGATTTCTCTGTGACATTGACTGTAGTGGTGGCGCGAACACCATTCGACCGCACCACGCACGATTTTCAGATCAGTTACCAACGCGTTTTGATTGCAAGACTCGAACAGTAGCGGCGCGGCCGTGTCTCCGACGTCCGACCATCTAACGGCGAGGTTCCCCTGCTCGAGTAGGGAGGATCCTTCGCAAGCGGACCACGAATTGCTTCATTTTCGTAATCCACACTCGAACGACCTCAAATTGAATTACACATTTTCTACAGAGTTCAGATTTGTGAGTTCAAACTCATTAATTTGTGAGTTTCAAGGGGTTTAATGTTTTATTTCACTGTATTGCAATGTTTTCAATGCGATTTCTAATTGAGAATTATTTCATTCTGTATATCTTTTCTCTAAGATTTCCACATAGCAACGCCCCTAGTAGGTCTATCTGAGTCTAAAAATTTGGATCTTATTGATGTGAGATGATTTGTGCTTATATCAATCCTAAAATTAACATATTGTTAAAATCAAATCTAAGCAAGCTGAGATTCACTTGTGTAGTTTTGTAGGTACGAAGAACTAGGATTGCTTTGTTCAGCTTTGCCAAATGAATGCCTTGTGTTGGAATCATCCAACAATTTCTCTGAAAGGCAGCAAAATTTTTGAGAATTATGGTTTCATTAGACTCGAATCGATGCCACATTTTCACCATGTAGCTGCATTGAAGATTTCAAATTCAGAATTGAAACCATCGCCATTGAAAGTCGAGAATCGGATGTTTATCTTAGGGATGGGTTTCGTTGGACGGTTCTTCGCGCAAGAACTAAAGAAGTTGGGATGGTAAAATGTCTGCAATTCCTAGTCATCTGTGTTTAACTTCAATAATGCCTTGCTGAACTTATAGAAATTAGAGAATTATCCTTTAATATCTTATGGATTTGGAATAGTTTTTGTATTGATTCGTCAAGTATCGACTGATTCATGATGTTTAAAGTTCGTTCTCTATTTGATATTTTGTTTTAAGAATTATAGCTGTGAAGTTAATGAAAGGGGCTTTGATCATTAGGGCTGTTTCTGGGACATGTAGAAACCTTGGGCAGAAGATGGAACTGGAGGAAAGGGGTTTTGATGTTCATATTTTTGATGCAAATAATCCAGAGTAAGTTTCTATAGTTTTGAGAGAACATAAATTAAACATATGCTATCCTTACATTATGTTACATCGATATGAAAATATTTCTAGTTCATGAGATTAGAGTTCTAAATGTAAACAAAATCGACACTGATGTCCGGTAAGCTTGTTCGGATGATATTACTGGTGAGGTTCACACCAAATGTGAGATCCCACATTGGTTGGAGAGGGGAACGAAGTATTCCTTATAAGGGTGTGGAAACCTCTCCCTAGTAGACGCGTTTTAAAACCGTGAGGCTGACGGCGATACGTAATAGGCCAAAGCGAACAATATTTGCTAGCGGTGAGCTTGGGCTGTTACAAATGGTATTAGAGCTAGGCACCGAACAGTGTACCAGCGAGGGCGTTGGGCCCCAAGGGGGTGGATTGTGAGATCCCACATTGGTTGGAGAGTGGAACGAAACATTTCTTATAAGGGTGTGGAAACCTCTCCCTAGTAGACAAGTTTTAAAACCGTGAGGCTAACGGCGATACGTAACAAGCCAAACGGACAATATCTACTAGCGGTGAGCTTGGGCTGCTACAAATAGTATCAAAGTCAAGCACCGAACAGTGTGCCAACGAGGACGCTGGGCCCCAAGAGGGGTGGATTGTGAGATCCCACATTGGTTGGAGTGGGGAACGAAGCATTTCCTTATAAACATGTGCAAACCTCTCCCTAGCAGACGCGCTTTAAAACCGTGAGGTTGACGGCGATACATAACGGGTCAAAGTGGACAATATCTGCTGTTGTGAGTTTGGGCTGTTACACCAAACCCCATGAGCTTAGTGCTCGTATGTGGATTATATCGTTTCTTACACATGTAGAATAGATATAGAAACTTTTATGATCATCTGATAGTACTGAACAATCTGCTCAAAGCTCGTAGTTTAACTATTTGGAAGTTGATGTACTTATAATGTGAAGTTTTTATTGGCCGTGTTCCATGTTTGATTCGTAGACCGGGCGCTCTAAAAGCAATGAAGTATCATACTCACCTTCTCGTTTCGATTCCACCAGATGTGGATGTTGGTGATCCTGTATGCCATTATATTTCTCTGTTTTCTTTTGAATACTGATGCAGGATATTTGTAGAAACTTTTGTTGAGATTAATTAAGGGTTTGAGTTGAGGCTTTAGAAGTTTCTGAAGGGGGATTTCACGGCTGATGTAATCTGAAATGCCTTAGATTAATCGCAATAAAATGTTTGTAACATTGTCCTGCATCAAATACTCCGTATTGGGTTATCTTATGTGATTGTTCTTGATGTTCTTGCTGTTCTTGCACTGACATTGCAGCTGCTCCAGCATGAAAAATTATTAAGGGCTAGTTTACAGGGTGGAGATCTTCAATGGCTTTGCTATTTGTCATCAACAAGTATGTGCTCTTTTTGTAATATACACAGACAAGCATTTCTTTGGAATCCCATATCGATTGGAGAGGAGAACGAAACATTCTTTATAAGAGTGTGGAAACCTCTCTCTAGCAGACATGTTTTAAAAACTCTAAGGGGAAGCCCAAAGAGGACAACATTTTCTAGCGGTGTGCTTGAGCTGTTAAAATTTCCCTCCGTCGTACATGCATTTAAAACAGTTGAAGAACATAGGTCTAGCAAGCAAGCATGTAAGAATTTTTTGAGCTCTCTCTCTCTGGCCCCTTTTGCCTCTCTTCCTCTCTTAAAGACGGGGGTTCCCTAGGACCTAAACCTTAACTTCATAGAGCCCTCCCTCTTGCGAAGCAATCATCTTTATCGTCTCTGTTCATCTTATTTCAACTATCGAAATCGTTTTGTTGCTGCTGGATGTATTAAGTTGCCAGTGGCGGCTATGGCCATGGATGGAAGTATAAAATTTGTGAATATAGGAGATCCTACTGTGAGATCTTATATCGGTTGGAGAGGGAAACGAAGCATTCTTTGTAAAGATGTGGAAACCTCTCCTTAGCCGATGCATTTTATAACCTTGAGGGGAAGTCCAAAAGGGAAAGCCCAAAGAGGACAATATTTGCTAGCGGTGGGTTTGAGTTGTTACAAATGGTATTAGAGCCAGACACCGGACGATGTGTCAACAAGGAGGTTGAACCCCGAAGGGGGGTGGACACCAGGCGGTGTGCCAATGAGGACGCTGGGCCCCGAAAGGGGGCGGATTTGGGGGGTCCCACATCGATTGGAGAGGGGAACAAAACATTTTTTATAAGAGTGTGGAAATATCTCCCTAACAGATGCGTTTTAAAATCTTGAGAGGAAGCCCGAAGACAATAGATGCTAGAGGTGGGCTTGAGCTGCTCCACCCACCTTGTTCGTGCATAACCATTTTGCCACTAGAGACTGGTCATAGAAATGACATATCTTTATTATTGACTATGATCAACGTTTCTTCTTTGTGGCAGGTGTTTATGGAGATCATGGTGGTGATTGGGTGGATGAAGAGTAAGTGATTTTGGTTAAGTCCTCACCACCATTTAGTAAATCAATTTCGTATTAAATGCGTAATTACTCTATGGTAGCAACCCGACGAATCCCTCGAGTCAGACGGGTAAGTCGAGGATCAAAGCTGAGGAGCAATGGTTAAATTTCGGTAATGATCTTGGCCTCTCAGCGCACGTATTTCGGCTCGGAGGTATCTATGGTCCTGGTAGAAGGTCGTGTCATCCTTTCTCTTGATATTCGTATTAGAATGTTCTTTTTACAAATGATTGGTTTTTCTCATCCAGTGCTATCGACACATTAATCAAGCAAAAGTCGTTATCCGAGCGTCAACAACGTAGAGGACGTAGACAATACACATCTCGAGTTCATGTTCTCGACATCTGCCAAGCTCTTAAAGCCTGTATTCAAAAGCCTTCATCCAGGTAACGTAACACATCAATATCATGTAGTTAGAGTGAGGAATGGAGCAAGAATTCAATACTGGATGTGCATTTGCAGGAGAGTTTACAACATAGTCGACGACGATCCGTCTCCAAGGGAAGAAGTTTTCTCGTATGCTCGGGATTTGGTTATGAAAAAGTGGCCTGGTAAAATCGAACAGTTGTCGGAGAAGATGGAAGCAAGTGTTATTAAGAATGGGAGTGGAAGGGGTGAAAAAAGAGTGTGTAATGTACGTATGAAAAGGGAGTTGGGAGTGAGTCTTGTGTTTTCCAGTTATAAATCAGGATTGCAGAACATAATTGACCAAATGGGAGATGATGAACCCTTCTAAATGGAGAGACCTCCAAATTTTTGGACCATGTTAGGGTAAGGAGTGTTTCGGTTATAAAAATTGGGGGTGTTCATAGGTCGGGTCGGGTAAGATAGTGACACTTTTTAGACCTAACCTATGTTTATGTTGTAATTTTTTTCGATCTAAGAACAAAATTTCTTCATTTTATTTTGACTTGAAATCGAATGAAGAACGTCCGCAACCGTGTATTTGGACCCACACTTGAAATCTACATAGGAGTCTTTCTAGCCACATGTGAAGGGTTATTTCTCACCCGTTCGACTTCTGTTCGACTCTTTTGCTCCGGTTTCAATACTAAGTTATTATAACTTAATTAGGGTTTGCCAACCATTTTTTCTAGAAATTTAGAGTACCGAGCTCATAGGAAACAAGAGCAGACAGGAGACGCAGGATCAATTATGAAGCCATTCTAACTTCTTTGAGAACTAATTATAGGGATCACTAGGATGTGTTAGTATTCAAGTATAATCGATCATATATAGCTAGAAAATGCATGTTTAAGGCGTTGGATTGAGCTGTAAAGCTGTGTAAGATGTTTCCATTGTGCTAGATCCTTTGTATTGAGAATGAGATTTATACTTCAGGATCACTATTGGGCATGTACGTATGTTTTGAGACTAAGATTTGTACTTCAAGTGATTGATTAAGTTACCTCTCTGTTTAGCATGCATGTATCTTTTGAAAATGAGATATGTATTCCATGTGATTGACTTATTTGAGCATGCATGAATGTATTGAATTTAGAAGAGGTTATTAGAGCTAGGACAGTTTTACGATGACCTAAGTTTAAACGCCTCCAGTAGACCAAGTACCCCAAGATCGTGAGCAACGATTAGAGGCTTAGACCCTAGGAACCAAGGTAACCCTAAGGAATTAGTCTAGAGAGAGTTTTGAAGATGAGAGTTCAAGATTTAAACTGCTTAGACCCCCTAAGATCCTAGGTAATATCCACGACACCTACAGAAGAAGAAAGTTTATGAGGCCTACTAGTAGTGTGAACGGTATTACCAGAGTTTCACCTCTTATCTCCTTTAACACATCATTAGTGTTATTGACGACCTAGGTCAGACCTAATAGCGCTCCTACCAAGTGGTGGTAGGAATTCAAAAGTAATATCACCAAGGTTGGCCTAGGCTAGATAGGGTAGCGTGTCAAGGCGACTAGGTGTCATTATCTCGTAAAAATGGAAAGGGGTTTTCTGAACTAAGCCAATGCACCATAAACCCATCCTAAGAGGAGGCAAGGGACCACACATGTAGACTCAATAACTAGCTAGCACTTGCGGTCACTCCCCTAGACCTTTTCACTTTATAATAGTTCTTGTAGAAGGGTTCCCAGTTAACCTTATACAAACATGTTTAGAGAGAGACACCATATTGTCCTATGATATATGACGATGTCGTGCCTTCACCCAAGATACATGTCATTCACTATCAAAGAAAACTAAGTTGACTTAGTCTAACAAACATAAAAGAAGGTTCATCCTAGAACTCAGTTACGTCAATCCAGCAGATCTACGACGCTAGAAAAAGTGAGCAACTTCTAGGTCCCGAGATCTGTGACATGCAAGAGAATTGCTCAAAATTTTTTGAGGCCTACCCAATAGCTCAAATAGTTGGAGAACATAGACCCAAACTTCCTAGAGTCTAAAAGTCCATGGTAATTTAGTAGGGTAAATATGCGATGAGATAGATTGCTTACTAAGTATGTTTCCTAAGTTGAATAAAACGACATAACTCTTTAGTATTGCATAGTTTAGAGGATCTGACCAAGTCTTATTTGTGTTAATATCTCAATCATCGAGAGTCTAAGTTAACACTATCAACGGTATATAAATTAGACACACGATATAATGATTCTAAGTGAGATAGGTGTCTAATTATAAGGCAGCTACTTTTTGAGAATATTTTTTTTGATTCATTCGTGTTACTCTTCTTTTTCAGGGCGTCCTTAAGTTTACACAGTTAGTGACGAGACCGTACTAGAGTTGATGGGCTATGAGCCCATGGAGCTCAGAATTACCGATCATATATTTAAAATATGTGGAAACCCATATTGTAAGCTTTTGTCGTATATTTATTGAGATATAAAAGTTCTGAGTTGATTTCTGTTCTTTAGTAATGGTCTATAGTTAATGTTTAAAAGGTCGAATCGTTACATCTTGACCATACACTAAAACCTAATACCTAAATTACAAATCAAAATGGCAAAGAACATTGAAGGATCACGTGATATCTATTCCATGGGACCTTTGACCTAATGGGTTGCCCTTAGTTTAGGGTAGCATGTCCTTGAGAAACTTGCTGAAATCCTTTTAGGACTTTTAGTTAATGAAATCACTTGAAATAACTTTGCTTACCAACTTAAAAGTAGACCATATAAATATGCTCTTTCTACCTTCATAACCTCAAACCTTAGGCTTCGAAATTAAATGCGACTTTAATATCGCTTCTAACATGGTCGACTATGCCTATTTTTCATTTAAACTAGGTTTTTTTTTTGAAAAAAATATAAATAAGTGGTTTTATAGGAAACTATTTGAAATAATTTTATAATTATTTGAATATAATTAAATAAGGGGTGTTCATATGACTCAATAATCCGATTAATCAAGACTATTCAACCCAAAGATAAAAGTTAGGTTGAGTTAGATTTTTTCAGTTTGGGTTGGATTGAGTTTTTGAAAAATTGATAATTCGAGTCGGTTTGGGTTAACATCTTTTTGTTGTGTCAACCCGATCAACTCCAAAATAGGGTTACAGTCCAACCCAACCCGACTGTACCCTACTTTTAAGATTATTATGAATATTAAGAATATTTGACGTTTGTAACATATGTTAGTAATGGATTGTGACTTATGAATGTTTTATATTTGAACTTTATAAAATTTTAGTTATATATACACATGTATTAAGAATACGTATGATTTTTTTCAGTAATTAAAAAAAAACAAAAAAACAATCCGACAATCCAGCCCGAAAATAGAGGGTTGGGTAGTTGTGAAATCCTAGTTGGGGAGGAGAACGAAACATTCTTTGTAAGGGTATGAAAATCTCTCCCTAGCAAACACGTTTTAAAAATCTTGAGGGGAAGCTTGAAAGAGCAAGCCCAAATAAAATAATATCGGTTAGTAGTGGGGTTGGACTGTTACAGTAGTAAACACTATTCGGGTTGCTCGGGCAAAAAAGATTTCTCCAACCTAACTCAGCTCGGACTGTTACAATAGTGAACTCTATTCAGGTTGCTCGGGTAAAAAAGATTTCTTCAACCTAACTCAGCTCGAAGCGTTACAGTAGTGAATTCTATTCGGGTTACTCGGGTACAAAAGATTTCTCCAGCGTAACTTAGCTCAAACTGTTACAATAGTGAACTCTATTCAGGTTGTTCGGGTAAAAAAGATTTCTTCAACCTAACTCAGCTCGGACTGTTACAGTAGTGAACTCTATCGGGTTGCTCGGGTAAAAAAGATTTCTCCAACCTAATTCAGCTCGAACTGTTATAGTAGTGAACTCTATTCGGGTTGCTCGAGTAAAAAAGATTTCTCCAACCTAATTCAGCTCGGACTATTACAGTAGTGAACTCTATTCGGGTTGCTCAAGTAAAAAAGATTTCTCCAACCTAACTCAGCTGGTGTACACCGAATATTCAAATTTTGGTAGGGGAAATTTATGAGAGTGAAAAAATAGGTCGAAAATTGCAACACTTTTTTGTTTGAAAAAATAAAAATGGATGTAGGTAATAAGGGTTAGGTCAACTGTTTTTCCAACCGAAGTTAATTGGGTTGGAGGACATAGTTGTAGGGTAGTTGGTAACCATAAACCTCTCCTTTCTTTTATTACTAACCGTTGGATTATTTTCGATTCAAACATATTTTTAATTACTAAAATTGCATTAATTTATTTTCGATTTTCTCAAAGATATTAATAATTATTCGAAAGAAATAATAATAATAATTAATAGCATTATTGATTTTAAAGGGAATGGATTTTTTTTAATTATATTTAATTGATACTTGAAAACAAAAAGACTAGTTTATTATTCTAGTAAATCAATAAATTCCAACATTTTTTAGACTTTAATACTTTATTAATGACACAAATTTTAATTTAGGTAAGTGGTTGCTTCGAGTTTCTTATTTTATAAAATAATTTCAAAATTATCCCGTAGATATTGTCCTCTTTGGGCTTTCCCGAAATCAGGTTCCCCTCTTCTCCTCCCCAATCAATGTGGGATATCACAATTCACCCCCTTCGGAGCCCAGCGTCCTTACTGGCACACCGTCTCATGTCTACCCCCGAACGTTTGCTAGGGGAAGGTTTCCACACTCTTATAAATGGTGGTTTGTTCTCCTCTCCAACCAATGTGGGACATCATAATCCACCCCCCTTAGAGGCCCAACGTCCTTATTGCACACTTCCTCGTGTCTACCCCCCTTTGGGGAACAGCGAGAAGGCTGGGGTTTCCACACTCTCTTATAAATGGTGGTTTGTTCTCCTCTCCAACCAATTTGGGGGACATCATAATCCACCCCCCTCAGAGGCCCAACGTCCTTATTGCACACCTCCTCGTGTCTACCCCCTTTGGGGAACAGCGAGAAGGCTGGGGTTTTCACACTCTTATAAATGGTGGTTTGTTCTCCTCCCCAACCAATTTGGGGGGTTTCCATACTCTTATAGACGGTGGTTTGTTCTCCTCCCCCAACCAATTTGGGACATCACAATCCACGGTTTTCACACTCTTATAAATGGTGGTTTGTTCTCCTCCCCAACCAATTTGGGGGGTTTCCATACTCTTATAGACGGTGGTTTGTTCTCCTCCCCCAACCAATTTGGGACATCACAATCCACTCTCCTTCGAGGCCCAGCATCCTCACTGGCACTCTTTCCTTCCTCCGATCGATGTGGGACCGCCCCCAAATCCACCCCCTTTGGGGCCAGCGTCCTTACTGGCACACCGCCTCGTGTCTACCCCCTTTAGGGAAGAGCGAAAAGGCTGACACATCGTCCGGTGTCTGGCTCTGATACCATTTGTAACGGTCCAGATCCACCGCTAGCAGATATTGTTCTCTTTGGGCTTTCCCTTTCGGGCTTCTCCTCAAGGTTTTAAAACATGTCTCCTAGGGGAAGGTTTCCACACCCTTAAAAATGGTAGTTTGTTCTCCTCCCCAACCTATGTGGGACATCACAATAATAATTCTAGATCCTTTTATATTTTATTTAATCTTGAATCTAAAATTTTCAAGAATGAGTTATCTCAAAATGTCATGTTTAAAAATATATTAAAACGGAAGCATTTAAAAATATTAAAGGAGTCATCTCATGACATGTTTTATAAACCTGCTTGTTACTCTCACGCTACGACCTTGCCCTTAATTATTTTTAAATGGGTACGAGTATTAGAAATATCAACAAGACACTCCCTTATCGAGAATAGACATGAACACATGTATAGTAACAACGAGCGTTTTATTTTTTAAAAAGGATCAGTTGTTTATGGCGTGTCTTTGATCAAGATTGTCTAGCTCAACTATAACTTGCACATAGAGACACCACTCAACCCATACAATGGTGACTAGTTTTTTAAAAAGTTATGGGCTATCCATAATGGCATAAAATCCTCAACAAATTTAAGAAAGATAAAAAGAGCGAAAAAAAATAAAGCAAAGAATAATCCCTTATGTTACTCTTTCTCGTACGATAGTTCTAGTCGATGTTTGATGAGGACAACACTATGATCAGCAGCGAGGTGAGACGTGCAAAGATTTGGCAACCAAAAGTGGCAGTAAAGATGCTACAAGAGAAAGAGAGAGAGAGAGCACCACGTTAATGACGAGGGGCAGTGGTGCGATTACTATGTCTAAGCGAGAAATATGCACGGTGAGATGACATTTGATGCTTAAAAGGAAAGCAAATTGGAATGGTGGCGTGACATCCATTGCAGGGATTACTAGGGTTAATCGAGAAAACGAGTCAAGTTACATTGCAACGGGGACGTTTGGTGCTAGAAATTCTATGAGGAGATTCAAACTCGCCCGATTTTATAGTCGAGTAGGTTGGAGACTATCTTATTAACATGTTAAAAAATAAATATTATAAAAACATGATGCTGTTACTTATGACCAATCCATTAACAAGAAATCTCACTTAATCAAGCATATTTAAAAGCTGTTAAGAGTGGTTGAATTGGCAACCCTACGATTATTATATTATATTATCTTATATGTATTATATATAAGACTATAATTATTATTAATAATATATATTGAACACTCAGATAAAATTCTAGATGGATTTAATAACTCATATTGAAAGGGAAAGCCCAAAGAAAACAATATCTGCGAACAGTGTACTTGGACCGTTACAAATGGAATTAGAGCTAGACATCGGACGATGTGCCAGCGAGGAGGCTCTTCTCCAAAAGGGGGTAGACACGAGCCGGTGTATCAGTAAGGAAACTGGGCCTCAAAGGGGGGTGGATTGTGACATCCTACAATCCCACATTGGGAGGCTCTTCCCCGAAAGGAGGTAGACACAAGCTGGTGTGCCAGTAAGAACACTGGGTCTCAAAGGGGGTGGATTGTGACATCCTACAATCCCACGTTAGTTGGAGGAGAGAACGAAATACCTTTTATAAAGGTGTGGAAACCTTTCCGTAACAGACGGCTTTTAAAAAGTCTTGAGGGGAAGCCCGAACCCGAAAGGGAAAGCATGTAATTACCAAAAAAAAAAAAAAAAAAAACCCTAATTTTTTCGATATTAAAAGTTTTGAATAGTATTAATTACCCATCCAAAATATGTAGCTATTAAATAAAAGCACAGCCTTTAAAGGTGTTCAAAGATTCTATGTTTGGCCACATCACACCCAATTTTTCAGCTCACTCACACAAACCATACCCTTTTTGAGCTGGCACTGTAATGTAAACAACCAAATCTCACCCCTCTTCTCTATATAACATCCTTCCATCTCCCCTCCATTTTTCACATCCAAATTCTTTCACTTCAACCTTTTTCCTTTTTCGTCTCGCCTTCAATGGCACCGCACTCGTTTGTCGACGTTCTTGTCATCGTGCTTGCCTTAGCTTCTTTGAGCCCCCGAGCCAAGGCGGGGAGGAGTTTCTTCGTCTTTGGAGACTCTCTCGTTGACAATGGCAATAACAACTACCTTGCCACCACAGCCCGTGCCGATGCATACCCGTATGGCATCGATTTCCCGACGCATCGCCCGACTGGCCGCTTCTCCAACGGCCTTAACATCCCTGATTACATAAGTTGGCATCATTTTCTCTCTCTGTTTTTAGTAGCTTTAATCTTTTATTCATATTCTTAACACACGACTTTCAGGTAAGCAACTCGGGTCGGAGTTCTTACTTCCTTATTTGAGTCCGGAGCTCAACAGTCGGAGGTTGCTCGACGGCGCCAATTTCGCTTCGGCTGGCATTGGCATTCTCAATGACACGGGAATTCAGTTTGTACGTCCACATTACTTCCTTCCTCTAATTCTTAAGTATCTTTTGACGATTTTATCGATGATGAATTCATCGACTCGCCCTTTGTGCCAATGTCGAAATGGTTGAAAATGTGCATGGTGCAGATCAATATAATAAGAATGTTCAGGCAATTAGAGTACTTTGAAGAGTACCAAAAGAGAGTTGCAGCCCTGATTGGAGCTCAAAAAACAACCCAACTCGTAAATGGAGCCTTGGTTCTGGTTACCGTTGGTGGAAATGATTTCGTCAATAATTACTATCTCGTCCCCTTCTCCGCTCGGTCAAGGCAATATGCTCTCCCCGATTACGTCAAGGTACTCATCGTTGAGTATCGAAAGCTCCTCCTGGTAATATCTCCCTTTCTCATTTTGTTCTATAAATTTTTTTGTTACGTCAAGGTACTCATCATTTAGTATAGATTAATTGAGGATGTATAAATTAAAACTTCAAACTAATAATTATATTAATTTAAACCCTAATTCTCGTACGTGGATAGAGTTAACCACTTTTTATTAATGATTTAATTTTTAACTAGTTTTACTTAATTAGATTTAAAATGACTTGAAAATAATAAAAATAAAATTACCCTAATTCTAAAATTCAAAATTAGAAAAATAATAATAATAAAGCATATACTCTCAACATCAACTCTCGATAAGACGATGAGATTGTAATTTTATGATGCAGAGGCTTCACGAGCTCGGAGCGCGACGAGTTCTGGTTACAGGAACAGGGCCGCTAGGGTGCGTCCCAGCAGAATTAGCGATGCGAGGAAGCAGCGGCGGGCAGTGCTCGGCGGAGCTGCAACGGGCAGCGGCATTGTATAATCCACAACTTCTTCAAATGATCAAAGGACTCAATGCCCAAGTTGGTTCCAATGTGTTTGTGGCTGTTAATACTCAACAAATGCACAATGATTTCGTCTCCAATCCTCAAGCATTTGGTATGTCTAAAATTTTGCTAAGTTTATGTCTATATGTCCTTTAATGATAATGTAAATTGGTGTATGGTAGGGTTTGAGACATCAAAAGTGGCATGTTGTGGACAAGGGCCATACAATGGCTTAGGGCTTTGCACCGAAGCATCAAACTTATGTTCGAACAGAGATGCGTATGCGTTTTGGGATGCCTTTCATCCTTCTCAAAAGGCTAATGGTATGATAGTGAAGCAAATGTTGTCGGGGTCAACCAAATATATGTACCCTATGAACCTCACAACCATCTTTGAATTGGATTCTAGGACTTGAAAAATTGCAATAAAAGCAATACCGAAAGCCACGAAACCAAGAAAGAACAAGACAGAGAAAAGATATAATCTTCTTTTGCCTCTTATAATCAAAAGGGTTTGAATTATGTCGTTTTTAATGTTGCATTTGCTTTGGTTTGTGTTTAGTGTTGTGTTGTTGGCTTGATCGAGAAAATGTGCATGTTTTGAATTATTTATATAATGACCTAACTTATAGACCTAAACTGATCGGGCTGTTACTAAATGCATGTCATCGTTATTATACTAGATGGAAAAGAAATTATAAAAGTTAACAAAAGTATTAGTACTACTCTGAAGTTAGAAGGTGGCTCTCCCTCGAGTTGCATGCAACTTAAAAGCTGAAACTATAAGGCTTTTTTTTTCAATTTATGGGCCGGTACAATCTATCCACTTTAAAAGAACTTTCGTCCTTGAGACTTTTACTCTTGAACCCCTTCCGACACCCAGCCTTATTCTCACGTTCCTTGGAAAAACTATGAATATTTAACCATCATTTTCATGTTTCTTTCTTGGATTTGTGATTCTACCAAAAGATTTGCACGAGTTTTTCTTTTTAACTGAAGCTATGGTCTAGTTATAGTGACTCGTAATCAATAACATGAGACAAATCTCTTGTACACCTAAAGATTATGAACTCTCTAAAGATTGGTTGTAATGCTAATAAGTAGGCTACTAAACTAATTCGGTCCCGTATCTCAAATGGCACACTCACGTGGACTCAACTTCTCTTTATATTCCAAACTCATAATATCCTTCATTCATGTTATATTTAAGAACACCTGGTTACCCCTTTCAAACTCTAAAATCTTTTATGTTTCATGTTATTGTAACTCTTTTATGTACTTGGATACATCCTCATCCTTATCTTTTGAGCAACTATATTGAAGCTTGGACTAACTCACGCTCTAACAACTTGCACTCTTCAATGGTCTCAACACACATGGGATCTGCATTTTTTTTTCACAACGTGCCCTAAAATGTGTCATATTGATTGTTGACTACTAACTGTTGTATAAGTGAAGTTCATAAAATGCAAGTGAGTGTCCTAACTACCTATAAAATCTTATGAACAAACATACAACATGTCCTACAAAGTGAGATGTAGGCCTTCAATTTAACCATTCGTCTGTTAGTGAAAAGTTGTACTAAACTCAAACTTTATGCCTAACTCTCACGGGCGATTTTACCAAAAGCTCGATGTGAATCGAGAATCTCTATCTGACACTCCAAGCAACCTAACAATCTCTTCCAAACGCAATTGAATTCAACTACTCATATATTTGAGAAAATCTTTGCTTCTTTACAGAAGGCACTCGTTTCACACTATTAACTTAATCTACAATTAGTAAGAAATTTGTAATGGCATGAATCGAATTATCTTCTTTATAAACAAGGTTAATCCGCCCCTTGAAAAATACTAGGGCGTATGGATCCTTGGTCTAGTAGCTCATATATATATATATACACACATACACATACATACATGTATGTATATATGTATATGTAAGCTACATCACTTTGTTAGTCATCACTTTCATTCAAGTTAGCTTTTTTTTTTTTTTTTTTTTTTTTTTTTTTTTTTTTTTTTTTTTTTTTTTTTTTTTCAACGAGGGACTATATTAGCTTCTTATAATAATTTGACCACACCTTCGTAGCATAGACCAATTGCTTTAGCATTATACAATATTTCCTTTGGTCTACTTCAATACCGAGGTAATACGTGAGTAACTCGAGATCAGTCTTCTCAAATTATTTCATCATTTGTTACTGAGCTCTTTGATGTCTTCCACATTTGTACCTGTGACGATCAAGTCATCAACGTACACGCCACTATGAGTGTTTTAGCTCCATTGTTTCTTGTATACACTACTTGTTTTTATGAGAACTTCATGAAGTTTAGACTCTTTAAGCTCTTGTCTAGGCATAAGTTTCACGCCCTAGGTGCTTGTCGTAAACAATAGAGGGTCTTTGACAACTTCTATACTTTGTGCTCTTCGGTTTTGATGAGAACCCTTTGGGTTGGGCAACATACACTTCTTCTTGGAGGTTATCATTTAGGAACGCTGATTTGACATCCAAGTGATGGACCTCCCACCGGTGTTGAGCTGCGAGAGCAAGAATCAGCTTTATAATGTCGAGTCTAGCCACAAAATCCAATTCTTGTTGCTATACATAGCCCTTAGCCACAAGTCTTGATTTATGCATGATAACATTTGTTTCACTATTCTTCCTCAAATTAAACACCACTCCAAACCAATGGGCTTGTGTCCGAGCAGTAACTTAAGTGAGTGTCCAGGTCTTGTTCTTCTCAATGATTTTAAACTCTTTTTGCATGACCTCCTGCCACGTCATCTTAGTTACTGCCTCACGATAAATTTTTGGCTCCTCTGCCACAAGCAACACTAGCTGTCAAGATCCAATTCTTCTTCAAGTGTATCAACATAAATTTCAGTGAGAGAACGGAACTTCTTTGGTCCTCCATCTATTGTTGATTCTTATATGCTCTCGCCTCAACTCTCTTGTTATAAAGAATTCATCACACCTTTCAATGTCCCTCGTGATGACATGTGTAAACTTGTTGGTGTCAGTGCACTTTCTAGGTTTGTCCATTTCCCACTTCTTCGAGAGTAGTTAACTCTATAAAAGTCTGTTTGTTATCATCGACGCTACACCAATCTCACTTCTTTTCTTCTTCGAATATGACATCTTTACTTACATGAATTTTCTCATGTTGCAGATCATACAACTTGTGTGCCTTGGTCCCATCCTCTCCGCCAAAATATTCTATTTTTTGAACTCTGACATCATTCATATATAGTTTTGCAGTCTTAACATCTGATATACAACTGAAGACTCTTAGACATCCGAAGTGAGGTGTCTTACCGAACGATGTTTCATAGGGGGTACAAGTGTCCAATGACTTTGTTGATAAATGGTTTAGAAGATAAACCGCTTGTCGTATTGCCTCACCCATGAAAATCGTCGAGACTTGCGTGCTATTGAGTAAGTTTCTTGTAGAGTGTACGGTGTGGTAAGTTGATACTTCATACCTTTTTTTTTTTGCAAGATTTTGAGAAGCTTTGGGATAAGAACTCAGCACCTTGGTCAGTGCACAAGGCTTTTAGCTTTTGATCAGAACTATTTTCAACACGTCTTTTGAACTTCTTAGATGCACATAGTGCTCTCTTTTTTTCTCTAAGCATGTACACTCACTTCCAACCGCTATACTCGTCAATAAATAAAAGAAAATACTTGTTACCAGCAATAAACGATGAAGTGATCGGGCCACATAAATTTACATGAAACAATTGTAGTGGTCGCTTAGTACAAATACTTGTTTCAGTTGGGAGCAATAATCTTGCTTGTTTGGACACAAGGAAACTTTCGCATAGTTGCTCGAATGTATATTTTGGGTAGCCACATAGCCTTCTTCTTCTCTCTCATCATTTTGAGCGCCTGAAAGTTCATGTGCCCAAGTCTTGCATGTCATAGCCAAACTAGGTCTATATAAGTGCCTTCTATAGATATGTGGTCTGGCTGGTCTCCAATAGTATCTTGTACATGCGTTTTTGTGACCGTTTTACCTTCATCAGCAAGGCTCTATTTCTATCGAACATCTTGGGGAATGAACTAACAAACTCCACTATGGTTGCCTTCTTTTTTTCATTTGACTTGTAACAATCATTATAAAAAAAGATTGCCGAGTCATCGGAAGCCCCAAGGATTCCAGCGATGTGCCAGAATCTTCTAAGACACAATCCTAGTTAATGTTAATAATGATGATGATTTTAAATGTCATATTGCATCATGATGATGATTTTTCTAAGACACAATCCTAGTTAATGTTAATAATGATGAAAGTATGAAGACTAATGCACATATATTACTTATAGTAATACAAAGATAAAATTAGGGTGGTGTCATGAATGTTTTAAAGATGAGAAACCATAGGGACCTCATGCATACTGTGTGTACATAAACATCAGGCTACTTCCCCTTTTATGTGACGAGTACAGATGCGTACACTATGATGATGATGGTGATTATGTAGTGCATGACACTTAGGGATCTTCTGACCTCCAAACGTTGCTACAGACAGCTAGCTCAACTATGATGGGTCAAGGGGGTGCGAATCGCCTGGGGATTCACACTTGCATGTATGGGTCGTGTATAGGAAAGTATTACACATCTAATTTAGTCCAGACCCGAGGCCACCCCTATGATGGTTCTAACGATAGGTCCCTAAAGCATATCTTACATATGTTTGCATTTTCACGGTCCCAATAGTGGGGTCACTTTCTGAGTATTCTAGAAATACTCAGGCCTTGTGCTACATCTTTTTCAGGTAAAGACGTGTCACTGTACAGCTGACGACGACATCGCAAATCTAGACCATGGGCACGCTTATAAGTTATTTAAGCGAGTAACATTTTTAAATTCTTAGACTTAGGTTAGTATAAGTCTTCCTGCATTTCATAGTTTAAATTATTTATTATTGTTATTTTTAGCTTGTTTTTTAATTATGTTTTCAAATACATAAGACCATAGCAGTGTTTTAAGATAAAGTTATGCTTTATGATGACGTTTTTAAGAGTTAAATTTCACGTAAGATTTAGATTAAGATGACCGTAGAGATTTTAGGTTAGTAAAAATCTAGGGCTCTTACATGACCAAAGTTGATAATTTTATTCTTCATGTTTGGGGTATAATATACGTTAGTCAGTAAACATGGTTCATAATCCTTACACTAGAACAAGATGAATCCTCACCCACCGTGAGTGTCATTAAATTGTTTGTTATGCAATTTACACTCACTCATAACTCAAAACAAAAAAAAATAAAAAGTAAAAGTAAAAGTAAAAGTAGCCTCTTAAATATCCTCAACCAACCCATCCATACAGATCAAACCTCTATATGTAATGGCCAAATTGAAAGGCAAACTTTACCTTTAAAGGATCGAAAAACAGTCTATTCAACTCCGTTCAACCCTCTATTTTCGAATTAAATTATACTTGATTGTTGGGTTATTTTTTAATTATTAAAAAAAGTTTACTTACTGATAATACATGTTACATTAATAACTAAAATCTCATAAAAAGTCAAATGTCAAACCTAAGTCACAGCGTATCACTAACATCACTCACAAGCATCTACTTGATAACCTTTAAAATAGTGTTAGATTGGGTTGTAACCCTATATTTGA